GTATATATACTATAATATACAAAGCTGCTACTATACATTTTGTCTTGTGCCCTCAACAAGCATCAGATGCAGATAAATTCTGTTTCCCTTCAGGGCTGAGTAGATCTTGGTTGGTGAAGAATATTGGGTAGTACATGAACTGCCAAAAGAACAAACAAGTCTTTGTTGGTAAAAGTGCAATCAGAGTGCTCTTTAGAGGCAAGGATGGTGAAAATTCATCTTACTTCATTTCATCAACACTTTGGGCATGCTGTAAGGAGGAGGCCAGTCCTTGGAAAAGGATATCATGCTGGGAATTGTGGACGTCAGAGTGTCACTGGAAGACTTCAACAAGATGGATTGACACAATGCCTGTAACAATGCACTTGAGTGTATCAGAGATGGTGTGGATGGGGAAAGATAGGGCAAGGTCCAGATCTGTTGTTTACACGGTCACTACAAGTTATAGTGATGTCACCACCAACAGCAATAGGCCTCTGGCACTAGGGCTAGAGATACCATGCCCTTCCTTTCAGTTATTTCTAGTAATGAATCATCATAGTTAAGTTGTTGTTATTATGTGCCTTTGAGTGCTTGCGACTATAGCGACCCTATGTACCACATCCCTGAAACTTCCTCTATCCTGTGCCAATTTTATTGTCTCTGACACACCTACTCTCATTACCCCTATCACTGTATCAATCCATCTCATCAATGGTCTCCCTCTCTTTCTGACCCTCTATTCTTCCAAGCATGATGCCCCTCTCCAAGAACTGGTCCGTCCCTCCTTGCAACATGCCAAAAGTATGTCAGATGAAGCCTCAGAATTCTTGCCTCCAAGTAGCAGCCTGGCTTCACCCTCTCTAGGATGAACCTATTTGTTCTCCTAGCAGTCCGTGGTATATTTAACACTCTTCTCCATCACAACACCTTAATTCTCCCTCTATCATCCATAGTCATTGTCCAGCTCTCTGATGCATAGCAAGCAGTTGCGAAGACTATGGCCTAAATCAGGCACACCTTAATCTCCAGACTAATGTTATTGCTCTTCACTACTCTAGAGAGGTCCCTGACAGCAAACTTTCCCAATGCAATTCGTCTCTTGATTTCTTGGCTGTTGGCACCAAGCAAACTAAAGCTATTAACAATTCAATCTCTTCACCGTCTATCTTAATGTTGCAAATCAGCACAGTGGTGAGATTCTTGTTTTCTTGATCTGAGTTTCAATCCATATTGAAGGCTGCAGTCTTTGATCTTCTGCAGCAAGTGCTTTAGGTCCTCAGTTTCAGCAAGCAGGGTTGTGTCATCTGCATAACGCAGATTGTTGATGAGTCTTCCTCCAATCTAATCTAAAATTCCAGCTAACATGGCAAAGCCAGGATTTACAATTTACATGGAGCCCTCATCTTTCCTCAAAAAAATATTGTTGCAACAATATTCGTATCAAAGTCCCTGTCTAGCTTTTCTTAAACACATCTTCTATGTAGAGTCTTTATTTCTTTCTAGATCAAATGCTCTAAGAGTGATTAACAATACAACTTTAGAGTCAGACAGTGTTGCAGAATGTTGGGGAGGAAGGGAAGGCCTCTGGCCAGGATGGGTCGCCTGAGCTCCAGACAGGTGCAAGCCTCCCAATGGCCTTTAATACAGGGTAGAGAAAGCTCTCCTGTGTTTGGCTGTACCGGCTTGAGAAAGCTAGCCACCTGGGAAATTGGCTGCCATGTCTGATGAACTGGGAGTGATCTGCACGAGGCTGAGGTTCTCCTGACCAATCCACATGTCCCACGTCTGCAAGCCCATCCTATCCTGTCTTTCTGTGTATATAAGTGCAGTGCTTATCCTAATAAAGTTCAGGTGGATTGACTCTCTGATCCTCTCCCCAAGTGGTGTCTCCGTTATGC